TGAAATTGATTGTTTAGAAAGAAAACATTAGGCTACCTGAATTTTAAGGATTGAGTAGATGGAGCAAGTACTCAATTTTCAATTGTAGCAGGAAGGAAGTTTTGATGAACATGTGTCTAAACATTTACGTACGCTTAAATCATGAAAAACCTGTGGGAAATATTATCCAGCACTGGGATCTGGAGAGTACTGTTCCTAGTTCCGTAATGAAATGTGTTAGTGCTTCAGCTGTTACATGTAATTCGTCACAGCTCAAGTAATGAATACAGATACTTTACTGAATAAGATCCACAGATTCACTTTCCTCTGTAGATTTGCAGAAGGGGGGTTATAGATAACTGGAAGAGAAGCAGGAACTAGGTTTTCTTATGAAGATGGCATAGATGGAGGTGCTGGGAATTTTTTTACTTAAGGTAAAAAAATGCTTTGAAAAAATGGTTGATTTTTGTAATTAACCCAGAACAAAGTCAAGTTGCTCCTGCTCTATGCTAGTGAAGTCTGTGGAATAAGTAGCAAAAAAGAGATGTTACCAGGTTTATAATAACTGAGATTTGTAGATTTTGGAAATTTACTTTTCCTCTCTGTTTTTAGAGAAGATATGTATGCTCAGGACTCTATTGAACTGTTGACGACATCTGGTATCCAGTTTAAAAAGCATGAAGAAGAGGGAATTGAGACACAGTATTTTGCAGAACTGCTCATGACATCAGGAGTTGTACTGTGTGAAGGAGTCAAGTGGCTTTCCTTTCATAGGTAAATTCTGCACGTTAAGTATTTGGGGTTTCAACATTGTGTATTGAAGTCTAGAGCTTAGATTTCACATTTCCTGGGCTTAAGTGCTGTGCATCCGATGGTGTGTGTAGCACATAGCTTAGCTGGTAAGAGTTAGAAAATATTTCTGCTGTAATACCTCTAACACCATTCTGTGAATAGAGAATAAAGGGTACGCGAGGTACTAGTGTTTTATATTCGATGTTTACACGGTAAAGAGAAAACTGTAAAGCCGAAAGATGTGAGAGTCCTCGGCCAGCTGGTGGCGCTGCACACGTGCAGGTAATAGCGGTGACAGTGATGGGAGAGAGCTATTCCTAAGCAACTGTTGAGCAAATTATGGGAGAGACCACTGCAGAGTTTTATAAAGCACTTCTAAATTTGCTATAAGTCTCCTGAGAATCTGGGCACCAAAAATTACTCAGCTTAGAAGGAGATCCCTGATAAACCTTAATTCTAGTTGCAGTAATGAATATATCTTGCTGTTTATTCCATCACAGGAACCCATATTTCAAGTAGAAATAGAATTGTGAATCCTAAATCTCTATGAATCTGTCAAGATACAGAAGATTTCTGAGTGGTAGTAAGATTTTTAATGCTTTAAAATATACGCAGTGGTCATTGTGTAGTCAACTAAGTGCCAGAGATAATTTGCACTTTTTGCAAGCAGCGGTGTCTTTAAAGGCTTATTGCTATGTAATGCCCTTGAATTAACGTCCTAAATTCTGACTGCTAAGGAAGTTAGCAAAGGTAGAGTGAATGTTTTAGCTGAGACTAGTTTCCTTACAGCTTTATTTGTTTATCACTCATGCTATATTGGTGGGTGGTAATATGTAAATGATGAAATTAGAAAAAAATCTAAATCTTCATCCGTAAGTATTAAATGTTGGAGGAGACAAAGTCACATGGAATTAGAGAAGTATTTATGCTGTAAACCAACTGCAAAATAAGGATTGCTTTGGTAAGGAATGTAAAGTGGTAGAAAAAGGGTGCATATAACATTCTGTTGTAGAAGTCATTGTTTTGATTTGTTTTGTAGAAAGAAGTGTTAGGCTGAGTTTCCAAAGGAGAGAGATTGGAAAGAAAAGACACTTAAAAAAAGAAGGATCCTCTGAGTACATTTGTCACATCTTCCACTTACAGCTGTCTCAACTCACAATATGACTCCAAAGTTATCTTACTCTTGCTATCTTGCTACTGGGCTGGCACCTTGTGGAAGAATACTGCAACAAGAATGCCATAAACTACTTCAAAATAATTACAAAGGCCAAAGTAGTGAATTAAGTTTTTTTCAGCTTCTTAAACCCGTTATTATTGACCCATATGTGTATATTTGTGATTAACACTTGACTTGAGAAATATAACTTGGATGCTTCAAGAGAAGGGGAGGCAGGTTGTGCATGTAACTGGTGCATCAGCAGAGACTGGCATGTTGAAGCAGCTTCAGCTCCCAAATGGTGTTTTTCCAATATTGCCTGATGGTTTAAGGGCCCGGTATAAGGTGTACTGGAGCCATTTCTACAGTAAGGATTCTTTTTTAACCATGTTTATATTTAGTGTGTGTAATTCCTGACTAATAGGCTGGTCGAAGTGTAGTGCTAGCTGTGTGCAGTAATGCCATTTTTACTGGTTTAGCCTATGAAGGATTTCATCTGCACTAAAATCGGTTTCTGTTGTGTATTTCACTGAACATGTCTTTAGAAATCTTCTTAAGACAGCTATTCCAGCAAATGTTTGTCAAACATTGATTATCAGAGAGTGTTTAAAGCCTTTTGGTCTTTGCCAGGGCTTGTTGATACTATCTTGAGCACCTGGGAGAAGTGGGTTATGTTCAGAGGAAACCAAGATTGCACAAAGCTATAAATGAGCACAGGTCATATAAAATGTGCCACAAAGAGTAGTGAATAGCTGTTTCTAAATATATTTTAGATTGATTGTGATTGTGTTCTATCAGCAGGACTCTCAGCTGAAAATTTCTTCCATGTAGGCCCTCATGCAGTAGTTCTTTGACTACTGAAAAAGCTGTGTTTGATAGTTGCTGACTCTGCTATTGCTTCCATTTCCTTAAAATGCTTTAATTACTACTAACCCTTAAAATTTAAGTCCCATAGGAAGTGGACAGAGGGGAATTACTCCTTTCTTGTTGTGAGGTTATGGTTTGGTTTTTGTTTCCCAGTCCTTGATTTCCTTGAACTCTTATGCATTTTATTTCTAAGCTCTTCACTTCTCAAATAGTTTTCTTTGTGTGCTTTTTATCTCTGCATTTGATATAGCTGCCTTGGCATCCTGACATATATTGGCAAATCTGTATGGACCTGCAGTTCTGACAGACATGAGTGAAGAAACATTTGCATTGTCATCAGTTCTTGTGTACTGCAACTGCATAGGCAACTCCATCAAATCTTTTGAGCGTGTGTGTGCATTAAAATGTACTTGAGTCAATGAGGGAGGAGGGGGGATCCTTGTCACAGTCAAAAGAGCTGTGAGTGCTTGGCAGTCTAGCAAGTTATAAAGAAACAGCTCAAATGCTGGTCTTGTGGATGTTCAGCTGACTGGTCTGCTGAAGCTTTTTAGTGTCCACCTGTGTGCAGCCTCCTCTGTCTACCTTTGGAGGGTCTGTGAAAACATACTTTTTTGAAAACAAAAAAACACATGTTTTTGGGATGCTGGAAAGTTCCAAGCTGTTGTGTTTCAGTAATCATTTGTGTCTAACTGATTTTAGTAGAATTTAATCTGTTGGCTCATATCTCTTAGCTCATTATAAAATGCAGTAAAGCTCTCTCAGCTCTCACAGGTTTTGATTTATTTTAGAGACTTGCTGCTTGAGTAGACTTCATTGTTAATTAGCTATCTTAATTATTTTGGATAGGAAGGGAAAGAAATACAGGTCTGTTTGATCTTCTCTATGGTCTCGTTGCCTACAGCTGTCCATGTTCAGTGAAAAAACAAAACAAATGTCTGTAAGAGTGCTTATGTTGTATAGCTCCATGGATTGTGGCTTGCTGCACTAAGCAACTTCACGTGATTATATTAGAAATGGTGAAAGGCTTTTAAGGAAAGGAAGCCTATGTGCTTCAGGGCATAAGCCAACCACTAATTGCCTGTTAGAGTATTAGAAGAAAACTTTTTTAATGAGCAGGTAATTACATAATTGCTCACCATGGACTTTCTTAGCCTTCTGTTAGCATTCAGAATGTTTTTAACTGGGTATATCTTAGTCTTGAATTGGAGTGACAGTTTTTATGCCTGTGTAAGCTTGGATCTGCTACAGTCTCCCAGATAAGAAAGTGTGTAATTCTCAATCAAAACTGCACATTTGTGGTAGCCTGCTCACTCTCAATATGTGAATGGTAGATGCATGTTGACTTTTCTTTTTGTGCAGGACTTCCTTCTCAAGAGAAAGCATAAGTGTTTAAGAGCATCTGTTTTCTAGTAATTCAGTCTTGTACATAATTTTTTTAAGAAGAGAAGTAAAATATTTTTGAAGAGGAGGAGCACAAATACTGGTTTTTTTTCGCTTTAAGAGTTTTAATACAACTGTTACATTTGAGCCACGAGGATGATCAATGTCAGGAGTTCAGTGAGTTAATAAACTGTCGTCTCTAGAGCAGTAAATCTCCTTAATCCTGAACAGTCTTTTTTTACATCTTTTTGATCAGCCTTTTTGCTAATGTGGCTTTTTTATTTTTTTTCTATAGAGGGCTTTATGTTGATCCAGGTTTTCCCACCTTCCCTCCCCCTTCAGATGATCTAATAAAATTCCAAGCTACTGTTTCGCCAAGTATACTGCAATTTTTACTTTGTAAGAATCGACTGAAATCCTTCTTTATCTTTGGCTCCTTTGCTCCCTGGCCAGTGGCTGCTGCTGTGGAGATTGGAGGGCAGCCAGCACAGCTTCAAAGCACCAGATGCAGTGCACGATTTGTTCAACGTGAAATTTTTAGAGTACTGGAAAGCCCTGTGGGAGAGCTGCAATAGTCTGTATCTCTTGTATTTCTTATATGAATGGACTTACTGGGAATGAATGGACTGTTTCCTATATGTTAAAGGTTTTTTCTACCCTCTGTCTAGAAATTCATAATATAAAGATGTAGAGAACCTTATATATATAGAAAAGATACAAAAAGTAATCCTATTTACACTGAGTATGCAAACTGAAGCCTTGAGCCTACATCAGAAGTCACCAGTGTTTGTGGATTCTAAATATCCTCAGGATAGCGGTACAGTGCTCTTAACTGATTTGTCTTTTCTATTGCTTGTGGCAATGGATTTGCCATATGTAGGATGGAAGAAGTCCTGTCAGAGATGGGCTAGTGAAGAAAAAGAAAACAGCTCAAATCTTATAGAAACAGAAGTTTTTAATGTGGTTTAAACAGGTTTTAAAATGGCTCTTGCTTTTCTGCAGAGTCATTGCTCCCTCTTCCCGACACCCCCTGTGAGGGACTTGTCTCCCATACAGGAGTGTCCTGGGAAGATGTCCTGAGGTGTTTCCCATTGGCCTTTTGTTAACCCCTTCCTATTGGCTGTTTGACTCTTTACCTGATTGGTTTTTTCCGTGTGCCCCTGAACTTGTAATTGGTCCCCTTTTGACCCTCCTAAAAGCCTTATAAACCCCTACCCCACAATAAACTTCCTCTTTCGTCTGTCCCTCCCTGGTGGTCTGTGAGCTCCTTATGGGGTCATCGGGCCATGTGCCGGGGGCAGGGGGGAAGAGCATTCACCTTCCAGGTAATGGGCTGGCACCCAGAGCCTGAAGGTCTCCCCCTCACACTAATCTGTTGTAAATTGCTCATCTCACAGTTAAAGATCTTGGTCAGTATTTACCAAACTGCAAAATTCTTGGGTTTGAGTATGATCCTTGTGTAATCAAGAATGAACACAAAGTCTTAAACTTGGAATTTGGAGTCTGTGGTGGCCACCTGTTCACTTGAATCAGCTCTCAGCTCTATGCTAAGGTTCCTTAAATAGCAGAACTGATGCAGCCTTCAGTAGAGGCAGCCCTGCTGTGTGTTTTCATCTTCTTTGTTAGTACAGGGATTTTTATGTATGTCAGTAAAATCTAGGAACTGGTTTGGTTCAATGCAAACTTAATAACCTAGAAGAGAATATATCAGTCCTTTATCTAGTTCAGTGCATATGTGCATGAGCAGTCCTGCAAGTACAAGGGATCAGAACAGATCAGATTCATGATCAGGTCATGAATAATCTGGTTTGTAATTGCTGCTCTCCTAGGGAAAAGCATACCTAGTTATCCCTGCTTTTTGTTGTGGTGTTCAGTCCTGCTTAATACCTGAAATCTGTCTTTCCTATACTTTAAGCGCTCTTGTTTCCTCTCATAACCCTTTGTAAAAAGTATGCGGTTTCTCCTTTTACTGCCACACCTCATTCCAATGTTCTCTTTCTTCAGTCAAGCTATTGAGGAGGAAGCCTTCCCAACTCTTCTCTCCACCATGCACACACTATAATACCTCAGTTCCTTCTAACAAATGTGTACTGCTCAGTTATCTTGCTGCTTCCTGCAGACTTACATGTACACACAAAAATTTTTCCAGCTTGTTTTGTCATTGCCTCCAGAAAGAGAAATAGTCTGCAAGCATTAATTTTTTCAGTTGTCTGTGTGCAGATTTAATTGGCAAAATTAAAGATAATCCCTCTTCTTCTTTGCTGGGGCTTAAACTTTCTTCCAGGCATAAACCTACATTGGCTTTGGAAACTCATCTTTTGGATTTCAAGAACTGTAGACGTTTCTCTCTGTCTCACTCAGTTTGTAGTGAGAAACTCCAGTCTGTGTGAAAGAAACCAGCTTAACAGTCTTTCTGGTGTGAGTTCTTGTTATCAGATGAAGACCCAGCAGCACTACATTATCTCAGGATTTAGAGAAACTCCTGTAGGCAGATCTTTTTGCTTCTTCACTTTGCCTCATGCAGACTAAATTAAAATGTTTTTTCTGGAATCTGCAATGGGGCCATTTACATTGAGGTTTGTTTTTTTCATAGAAGTTGGTCTTAATTGCGTTGAAATCGAGCAAAATGTCCAGTTAATGTGCAGTAAAGTCGTGATGTTGGAAGTGAGAAGTTATTTGCTTATATTGTTTTTGTTATTAATTTGCAGCGGATATGACTTCGGCTATCTAATCAAAATCCTGACAAACTCCAATTTACCTGAGGAAGAGTTGGACTTCTTTGAGATACTGCGGTTGTTTTTCCCTGTCATCTATGATGTAAAATATCTCATGAAGAGTTGCAAAAACCTGAAGGTAAGTAATCTGTTAATATCTCAGAACAAATTTTGCGTTTGGAGACAGAGTACTTTGTGCTTAAAAATACTTATTTTCTATATTTTTATTGTTTGGTTTTGCTCTGATAATGCCTACTGAGCACTGTTGTCTCAAGCTTCGTGTGTTTAATATTAAAGGCAATTTTTAGAAGCAGGCAGGAGCACAAATCTATTTTTATAACTACTTACCAGTTAAAAATATCATGGTACTGTATTTACAGTGCTTTGTTGATAGATGATAAACCCATGTTTGGAATTAATTCTTCATTTCCTTAGCCATGAGAATTGATAGGTTTCATATACTCTTATTTCCTTATTGTGCAGCCCACTAAAGGACTGCAGTCATCTAGGCAAAGGTAATTGCAATGAAGATGATGTGGAAATGTCTTGGGAAGAGGAATGGAATGAAGAATGTTTCAAATGGCCCTATAACGAAAGATAAACAACAGCATATGTTCAGGGACAACATGTGACTTCTAGGAAAAAAAACAAACTAGAAACTAATCTGTCCTGTCAGGCCTGTGGGGCTATTAATTGGCTTACTCTATCAGGCATGAAATTTGGATACTTTATTGGACTGGAGAATTAATGGGAACTGGAACTGATTATGTGAAGGGGAACACAGCAAGTGAAAGAAAGATGCTAAAAGTGCTGTTAACAGCCTTACTTGCCAAAGAACTGGACTACTGCTGGAATGAGGTGCATTGCTCATCTGAGGCATTCGATGACTTGTTGCTCTTATGGAAAGTAACTTTCTAGGCTTTCTTAATGAAAACCTGCAGGAAGAAGAGAACACTCACCTTAGTAAAACCAAATCCTAACTAAGGAATGGCTTGCCACTTTGTACTGAACAAGTGATCTGTGTGCTGTTTATAGGCCTCTGTTTCTTTCTGAGAAAAGAGTGTGTCACTTTGAGTATAACCTACTTGTGTGAGAAGTAAATTAACTTTGTTAATGAAATTAATGATGAAAATGTAGACCACCCTTCCAGTTAGTAAGAAAAGTGTGACTGTCTGTGTTCATCTGCAGTTGTTACTGATATAATCAGCTGTACAAATGGCTGAGTATTGGAGAGCATCTTAGAAGCAGCTTTTCTTCAATGGAGGCCAGGAACAAAAATCAAATACTCCTAAACTTCAGGAGTCTTAAATGAGGGGTAGGGAGGAGGCCCCCCCCAAAAAAAAATCCCCTCATTTTCTCACTCCTGATAAAGAAAAGTAAAGCATCTGGTGTCTTAGTGGTGGTGACACACTTAGCAAGAACAGAATGTAAATTCTAAATTTAGTGACATAGAAAAGGTAACAGGTTGATATTCTGTGTCACTATTCCAGAGGTGACATTCCCAGTGAGTTTGGGGAGGAGAGGATTCAGTTCCTAACATTTCATTAAGACATAGTTGTGTGTAACTTGCATTGTTTAGAGACACTAAGATCTTTTGGAAGACAGGAAAAACCTTCAGAGGTCTTATTTCGGCAAACCATAAGAACAAGGGTGTTAATTTTTTTCTAGAGTTGGATATGTAGGTCAGCTTTCCTGCAATAAATTTTGATCCTGTCACCTCATCTGCAGACTAATAGTGACAACAGGGGAAGGGGAATGGACTATCTTACCCCTCCAAATTTACCAGTGATGAAATGACGGTGGACTTGAGCTGTACTGAGAGAAACTGCCTGAAACAAATTACTAAACATTCAGTGTTGTGACTCTAAAAATGCATGCACTGTCTCCTAATGTGTGTCACTTTCAGTCTCTATTAAATGAATTGAACAGCTGTGCCATTGTCTTTTATTGACTCGTCTAAGCTATTTTTCATATGAAAGTCACTGACCTGCTATACGTCTCCCACTCTCTGTTCCCACACAACCCAAAAAGACTTTTGGCATTGGAAAGAGAAATATGTTTCAGGATTGGAAAGATGTTTGATGCTTTTTTTGTGGAATTAAGTATTCTGTGAATTTATAGTATATTATTCTGACTTTACTGGCATGCAGATTGGGAGATATTAATGTAGTATAAGTTAAACTTACTTATTCTCTAAAAAAAGCTTTTTATGTAGACAATTCCAAACCTTTTGATAGTAGTGGCAATCCTAAGGAATGTAGATTGATTGACCTTGTCGGAAACTTGCTTTTAATATGGGGGTTTGTACAGAACAGTGAACTCTGGGAATGTGCCCTGAAATGAGAATTTGAACTGGATTTGCTGTTGACCATGGTTGTGTGATTATGTAAATCATTCTGTGGCTTTTTTCTTGGAAGGCCAATGCTGTGAAAATTTGGGAAGAACTTGTCCTTCTCCTCCAAGAGTGAAGTGTACTTAGCCGGAGTGCAAAAGGCGTGCCTGAGGGAGAATCTCAATAGCCTGTTAATTTTCTGTCCTGATTCTGCTCAGCACATTTTTTACAGTAGCCAGGAGGGGCATGGGTAGGACACAGAGGTTAATCTGTACCACCTAACATCATTTTCTGAGTCAGGGGGTAGAGCTCGCTTCTGTGGTGGAGTAGCATAGCAGAGGGAGCAGTCAGATATTGTCAGGGGTTTCTGCAGGGTGAGCAGTAATGTGTCTTGTGCACGCGGTCACAAGTATTGTTGCTGTTACTGTGCATTTTCTTAGCTCATTGCTGTTTTCCAGTAAATTGTTCATATTTCAACCCGTGATCTTTACCTTTTGTGCCTTCAATTCTCCTTTCTAGCCTGCTGCAGGGGAAGGGCAGTGGGGAGTGAGTGAGTGGTGTGTGTTTTGGAGTGGTTTCAGTGGAAACACTAAATTGGAGAATACCATTCTTAAACCATGACATTTTCAGAGACAGCCAAATTTTATTCTGTAATTATTGCACTTACAGACCAAGAAGTTCCACAAAAAAACGGTATATATTTACAAATATATATACACACACCATTAAAAGCACTATTTTCAATGCATTCTTTGGTAGGCTGCTGTTACTGTAATTTTTGTATTACTAAGTCTGCATTCTAGAGCTTGCAGCTGCTGTGTAAATATTATTGATTTTTATTCTGGAGTGTTCTTCAAAGTTATTTGGAGGTAGAGTAGATACTAGTCTTACAGCTAGGAGAACCTGATAATGAGGCACTGATAATTTGCAGCTTGACGAAGTAGAGAGTTAGGAGCAGAAACTGGTACCTTTAAAAGGGTTTGGGTCTAACTGCTGTGGTGAATTAGCAGCTCATTATTGGAGTTAGAATGCAGAGAATATACTTGTGCCTGAGATGAACTCTTTTCCTTGCTGGCCACCAACCCTCAGCATGATTTTGAGAGTGTAAGTTAACCGAGCAAGTTTGCCTTGTTCAAATGTTCTATCTAAGCACATAAAACAAACCAGCTTCAGGAGTTAACTGTAAAGCATATAGACTAACCTTAAACTTTTGTAAACTGTATTCCTGCTGCTTAAGACAGAATAAATCTAGCTATACCAGTGCTGTCGGTTTGTAGGTGTTACTTTGGAATGTTATTATTGAAGATTCCTCTTTTTTTTTTTTTTTTTTTTTTTAAACAAAAATGTGGACCCAAACCTGTTGCCATAAGAGTCATGGGAATTTTCATAATGTTTGATCTGAATTTCAGGTCAGATTACTTTATTGCTCCATGAATTTTACATTTGACTTGTTGTGCTTTTGCCTCTTATTGCTTCCCTTTACCTACTTGAAACAGGTTAAAGAGTGCAAGGAAAGTGAACTCTAGGCATTGAAAAGCATTGCCTCTGTGCAACATTTTTGCCTCACAGAGCTTATGGCAGCACTGAGGATTTTGTCGGTCTGGTTTTTTTTAATCTTTCTAGACCTTAAAGAACGTGCATGTGTTTTAGTCTTTCCAGTAGCTTTATAGCTTAATGAATTAAAAAAAGAATTGTACAATCATGTGCTCACAGCATTAAAAGATTGCAGTTACAGTGTAACGTTTGTCCTTCAACTGATCAGTGTATAACCAAAGCAAATTCTGACTGATTTGCTCCCACACGTAGCAGTTACTACTGTTTTGGAGCGAACACTAAAAGGGGGTTTATTTAGTCACTCTGCAGTTAAGGGGACAGTTTTTCACATCAGCTTATTGGGAAGAAAATTTGTCTCAAAACTAAAGAAGTTTTATCTTTTAGAGCAGATACGATTTGCAGCTTTGGTGTGTTACCTACAGCTTCACAATCTGTCCTGTTCTATCAACATTCAAACTGGACAGTTACCATTTTAAATTGTTCCCTTTTTGTATGTCAGATATTTATATAATTTTTTTAAGAAATAGGTTTTGTTGCACATCTGTTAAATATGTATCTTTAACAGAAAAGCTGTTAAAGATGGCTACATCATAGGACTCTAGTATCTTAGAAAACTAGTTGCAAGATGATGGATTATTTTTGCATGTTTTTTCCCCTATTCTCTTACAACAAACTTTTAAAAGGGGTAGAATGTCCTGTAGAGATGGAGGGAGCACTACCTTCCTCTTTTAACTTTGCCACCTGGATTCTATATGTCTGTGGTCTAACATATTCCTGGGCTTCCTGTAGTGTTCTAGGTACTTAAGAATACTCTTGGGTTTTGTGAAGGGATGTGGAAAAACCCTCAGCTTAATTGTTGAAAGGCTAGTGGGGAGAAAGAGGTCTGTTTCAGAGGAAGCCTAGCCACTTTAACATATGGAAGCATACAGGCATGTCATTTGTAAGCGCTTGAACTGTTGTGTTTTAAAAGGCAAAAATGTCATTCTACACTTTTGTTCAAATAGAAGTAAAGGAACACCTGGTTTTGTTCTTAAACATTGCCAGTCCTCCTTTCAACATCTTGAAGAAATTAAGTAGTATCATCTGGTTACTGGACAAACTGGACCATTAGTAGTCTTGTTGGTTACAGGTACTGTCTTATTTAATCAATTCTAACAGAATTTTAATGCTGCTATTGATACAGAAAGTTTGATTCTCCAGGTGTGTCAATTAATCTAGTACAATGACTGTTTCAACAACTGAGCAAATGTCAAAATATACCTGAGGTTCTATGACCTGTGTAACAGATTTTCCCAAGTATAGCAGTTCAGTTTTGATTTAACTTTTTTTTAGCAGTTAACAAAAATGTTTTGTTTTTCAGGGTGGATTACAAGAAGTGGCTGAGCAGTTAGAGCTGGAAAGGATAGGACCACAGCATCAGGCAGGATCCGATTCTTTACTCACAGGAATGGCCTTTTTCAAAATGAGAGAAGTAGGTGAATGTACTGGTTTTATTTCCATGATTGTAATGTGCTGTGATAGTCACACAGAATTGCTGATTCTGATAAGTCTGTGGTATTTTAAGGAGGTCTCTAAAGGGCTCTAGGGGTCAATCCTTTGTTGACAGAAATAAGACTTACCTGCACTTTCCCCAGAGTAAGTGTGAACCACCTCTACTGATTCCCTGCTTAGCTGCTGTGACTATTGCTTCACATTTCCAGCCTGTGCCTGGCTTTTGGATTTTTTGTGAATTTTGTTTTGGAGTTTTTTCCTTACCTGTTTTGGAGGGTGCCTTTTTTTAGATGGGTGCTGCAGTGAGTAATAAGCTGCTGGAGCCAGACTTCTTTCTGGGAGACCATGCTCAAGCCAACTTTTTTTTTTTTGAGCTTCTGCTCAGTGTAATACCCAGCTGGTGTGCACTGCTGCTTGTGACAGGCTGAGAGGTGGGGAAGGAGTGTTGACTAGCCACTTCTAGCTAAACTTTCAGGCCACGGATATATTAAATAATGACTTTAAGGCTGTTGTGGAGAATTTCCATGTGTTTCTTCTTCCGTACCATTAAGCGACGCATAGATTGCTAACATTCTAAAAGATTATTTATCAGTCAATTAATTCAAGGTTTACAGCAGGGAAAATCAGCTCTTATAAACTTCTCACTTCCTTGCTGCTTGTCTGCATACAACAGGAAGATATTAGGATATATTGCATTAGCAGAACAATCAAATACTGAACAGGCCTCTTCTGGAAAGCAGTTCACTGGACAAATGCCAGTGCATCAGAACATGGCATTCTGCCAGCAATTCAGTGTCATTTACCATGGCGAAATAGATGGTAATATCAAACCTCATCTTTTAATAATTTTAAGCACTGTAGGCTGAGGTGTCTACCTTCTGTAATGCAGCCTTTTGTATGAAGGAGAAAATGATCACAAGATTCTGACAAATACTGGTGAGACAGCTGGTGAATAATAAATGATGTGGTTTAAGCTGGTTTGCTCATCCTAACACTGTTCTGCCTCTGCTAGAACTGTTGTAGTTGTCAAGCAGGTCATGGGCTACAGATGTAATAAAGAGGATTATGTTTTTGGTATGATCCAAACCCAGTGCAGCTAACTGCTGTCTGCCTGGTTAATTTTTCACTCTTGAATTTGAAATGAAATGAAAGCAAAGAAAGGGAAATAAGTGATAATCATGTTTAAGAAGATACAGCCTTTCAAATTACTTTTATAGAGGAAAGGGTTCAAAGTCATAATAGTTTCTTTAATGAGATCACAAAATCACAAAACATCCTAAGTTGGAAGGGACCCACAAGGATCATCAAATCCAACTCCTGGCCCTGCACAGGACCATCCCCAAATGCCGCACCATGTGCCTGAGAGTATCGTCCAAACACTTCTTAAACTCTCTCATCCTTGGTGCTGTGACGACTTCCTGGGGAGCCTGTTCTAGTGCCCAGCCACCCTCTGGGTGCAGAACCTTTTTCTAATATCCAACCTAAATCTCCCCTGATGCAATTTCAGGCCATTCCGTCGGGTCCTGTCACTGGTCACCACAGAGAAGAGATCAGTGTCTGCCCCACCTCTTCCCCTCATGAGAAAGTTGTAGACTGTGATGAGTCTCCCCTCAGTCTCCTCTTCTCAAGGCTGAACAGACCAAGTGCCCTCAGCTGCTCCTCATACGGCTTCCCCTCAATGCCCTTCACCATCTTTGTTGCCCTCCTTTGGACACTCTCTAATAGTTTAATATCTTTCTTATATTGTGGTGCCCAAAAGTGCACACAATATTCAAGGTGAGGCAGCACCAGTTTACTAAAAGCTTTTACCAGGAAATCTTTGAGGGCTTTTTAGTGCAAAATACTTGCTTAATTAAGCCAACAGGCATGGTTTGTTTTTTTCCCAGTACTTGCAGATATTCTTTGCAAATACAGCATTTCTAAATAAAAATGCAGTAGTAGTAAGCAGAGAGAAGTACATCAAATGTTGATTTTTAAAGCCTTTTCAGGAGAGTTCAGTATTTAAAAATGTATTTCTAACTGAAAAGTCTTCATTTTACAGTGCTTTTAGAGGTACAAAATTGCTAATTACTGTGAAGGAGCTGCAACTTGCTTGCTGGGTTTTGGAGTGCCAGCCAAAAAAGGTTACTGCTCTTTTTCTTTCCATCAGAAATACTTAAATAATGGTACTACAACAGTAGAGTTGTTTTGGGGTTTTCCTACTGTTACAACCCACCCCAGAAAAAGGGGAGGGGGTAACCCAGGTTCTTATCAATAATTCCCTTGGGGTGGATTAGAGTGAAACGACACTGAATAATCGGTGTCTGAAAACATATATTGGTAAGGTTTATTTTAATTATTCTGTATCAACAGGTATGCTAGCAGTTTGGGTGTTGTCATATAACAATGTGACATAGAGATAACCTTTGGGGGGGGAAAAATGCATAGGGGAGAGAAAGACAGGATAAGAGTAAGAGAGAGTAAGGAAAAAGAAAAGATGAGAGTGGACAAAACATATATAGTCACTGCCCACAGGGTCCAGTGATGACGCTTGGTAGTTGCCGCTTCCATGTCTGTCAGTTGAAGTGGTGGCCTTGATCTGCTGGGGGTGAAGGAGGGAAGCCCCCACACGCCAAGAAGTTATGAGTTATATCCATGGTCAGTGTCACGGGCCATGCCTCGAGCCTCCAAACTCTCCCTGGGCCTGCGCAGAGTTTCTGTGTCTGGCCTGATTCCCCCCTTTCAAGTTTGGCAGAGGGGGGGATGGGCTTTGATGGGCCATCAGAGGTCCTGCCTTTTCAGGGCTTGACACCTTCAGCACTGGAGGGAGGGATGATGCCCTTCAGAGGTCAAAAGCCTGCAGAAGTCTCCTTGAATGCATAAATCATTAACTGTTTCAGTCTCTGACACCTACCTGTTAATTTCTTTAAAAACTGCGGGGGGCTTTAAAACTTTTAATTGAAGTCTCTGATTCCTGCAGTACGGACCTTTCCATCTGACTGTGCTACTAAGAGGAAAGCTTGAAGGGAGAAGTTTTGATCCTGTGTGGTATATATAGGCCTCTGTGTTTAGAATTGTGTATTGCATCCGTTCTGTTCCTGCATACTTCTGCCTGTCTTAGATTTCTGATGTTGATGATGACTCAGCGTGTCAACCACAGCAGTGTCCAGGGTTGCCATGAAGGTTTTAGAGTGAAAAATTTGTGTGTGTGTGTGTGTGGTCTTATTTTTGTGACACAACTTGTGGTTTTGTGCTTGAAAACCTAAGTCTAGAAGGTAGAGTATCAGAACATCATGAGGTTTCATATGTCTTCCACCGAAGGGTTCCATTTGCAATTTATACTTGTAAGGTGTAAATTCAATCTTAGTACAAAATTTTACTCCTTATAAAATGAAGTCCCCTCCTGTGAAGAGCTGAAAATACATCTTTCTGCATTTCTCCAAAGTCCATAATGGGTTTTGTGCTCATCCTCCCCACCTCCAAACTTTTATAATATAAATTAGGACATACCGCCTTTCAAGTCAGAGTGTGGTGAAAACCCTACACTGAGGAGTAGGTAAGAAAACAGACACTGATAATGGATGCTAAGCATATGGCTGTTGTGAGAAACACCACAGAAATCAAGTGGAGGAATATTCTTGTTGCACTTGAAGAAAAGTGAGTGATGACTAATAATATAAAATTATGAAAACATTGCATTTGGCCATTTCATTGGGAAGGGTGCACAGTAAGACTGATTATATTTCTTGACAGTTTTAAAGAATCGTGTCATATAGCACATTGTGATAATGTGTTGAGATTAAGCATATTATGATGTTAATTATATCATCTTTTGCACCTTGGGATTTAATATCTTATTCAAAAAGAAAGTAACATTATAAAGCCTTTCTATAGTTCTATTTAAACTGAACCTTTTCTAATAATTTGTGTCTCTCTTCTAACTCTTTAGATGTTCTTTGAAGATCACATCGATGATGCCAAATATTGTGGCCACTTATATGGCCTTGGTTCGGGCTCATCTTATGTACAAAACGGCACAGGAAACGCTTATGAAGAGGAAGCCAACAAGCAGTCATGACATGAAATGAAAGGCCATCTTTTTGACCTCCACATGCTTGTATATAGGTTTTATCTCTGGCTGAACCCCTTGGACAATAAGGCTTTTTTCCCCCCTTTCTCAGTACACTTTCTTTTCTGCCTTTCTATGTACTAAACTTGACTGTTCCTATCACAGATTTTGATCTTGATATGTAAAATTTTCTGGGTTACATTTTGGCCTCTTAACTAGCCCATTTGTAAAGAAGCATGTATAGGATCAGTGTGGAAGAGAGAAGGGAAAAGTTGAATCATAATGAACAGTCTGGTAAACTTACCTATATTGTTTTTCCAGTTTTTTGTCTCTTTCCCCTCCCTTCTTCAATTAATTGGCTCTGATTGTAATTAACTTCCCCCTTCTTGTCTGTTCCTTCCACTATGCAGGCGTTTTAGCTATTCAAGATTGTGGACCATCAAATTTGCACTTTAGAGAGAGACTGACTCAGATCCTCTGTTTTATTTGAAGTTTGTTTTGGTTTTTTCTCTTGCCCTCAGCTAGAAAACAATCATCTGCCAAGTTCAGCAGCTTCAAGCTGTATTTCCTTGGCATCTCACCCCGTAATCTCTGTTTGTTAAAGCAAAACAAACTACTGAAATCATAGTAACTGCTCTTATTTTACTATTGTTCGGTCATCTTCAAACACATCCTGCACATGCCAACTGCTATTTGGCCTTCTGCTTTAAAACCGCTCTGTGATGGGGGAAAGAGCCTTGAAAAAACACCTTTACACCCTTCAGGAAAAGAACAGCTATGACTTTAGCCTTTTTGCCATTAATCTGAGAGTTGAAGGATATTGGAAAAGTAGAAGTCTTGTAATGGCACGCTTCCCTTGATTAACCTCCTAGCTTTTATTCTAGTAATGTGCACCTCAGATATTTTTTATGAAGTCATATTTATTATGTACTTGATTTCATGATTTTTGTAAGTCAGTTTAGTTGAAGATAAAACCCAAAGATCTGAAAAAATACTATTTAATTGAAATATTGAATTAGAAGGACAATTAAATCATGCTTTTTTGTAGTTGTTACAAAGACAGATGTTACAGATACTTGTTGTAAAACAACAAAATATGAATAATTTACAGCTAATAAAGTTACCTGAGGAGTGTAATGCTAGCTTATTTTTGAGTATATTTTACAATATATTTTAGATATATTGTTTTAAAGGACCCTGGAGTATGTTCTCAACTCTGCATAGCATTTATACAGAGCAGTTGTGCAGGAAGGAGTTGTGGTATTGAATAGCTAAATACTGGCCTGAAATGATGGAACGTGTGACATTGTGTGTCTGCGTGTGCGCACGTGTGTGTGACACAGAAATCAGTGGTAGAAAAATCTCCAAATGTTCACCAAATATTCTGTTTTATCTTGTACTTAAAAGCAAAAGATCAAACACCTTTCTCTCATTGAATTATGATGATGTAACTGGGCAGTCCTTTTTAAACAAGTAATTTGCATAACAGAGGGTATTTGTTTTTAAAGCTTTTGTAAATAAAGGCCTAAGAAATGTTTTCTTACATAATAACAGACTGGTGGTTTTGTTGCAAAAATTTTCCTGGAATGTGAATATTTAGTCTGTTCAATTCTGTATTCTGTTTTGTTTAGGCATCATAGTTCTCTTCCACATGCTTATAATCTGAGCAAAATTCTGTTCATAGGTTTCTAGTAATTTCATTTTTATTGTCCTGAATTGAAAGAGTGGTGATCACAATTTACTTCTGAGGCATCTTAATCCCATTATTAATTTTATACCATTATGCGTTAGAGGATGATGACTTGTTGGTTGTCTTTGTCTTTAATAAGATAGTGATAGTGAAAGCAGGATGAATTCTTACATACATACAGGGAAAATTTGCATACACGTGGAATTAAGAACCCTGAAGTTTGATGGATTCACTTTAAAGTAGTAGCTTTGCCTAAAGCATACCAGTACAGCTATCTGGTTAACTTTTGAATGGGATGACTCTTTGATCCTCGATTAAAAAGTTACTTCAAAACAAAAACCCACTAAAGTCCTTCAAAGGAAGTTTTTAGAGCCTTCTAAATATGTGCCTAGAGTAAAAGTTCTAGTGCCAATGGGGATGTGCTTTTGAAGTGACTACTGAGCATCCCAGATGCTCTGCTGTGCTTTTCTTTGCTTCCTGTCTTAGAATTACAGAATGGTTTGGTTTGGAAGGGACCATATATTTCCAACCTGCCTGCCATGGGCAGGAACACTTTACACTAGACTAAGTTGTTTAAAAGTCCTGTTCATCTTGGCCTTTAACACTTCAGAGATGGGGTATCCACAGCTCTGTCATGGACAACCTGTTCTGGTGCCTCACCACCCTCACGGTAAAGAATTTCTTCCTAATAATCAATCTAAATCTGCCCTCTTTCAGTTTAAAGCTGTTACTCCTTGTCCTGTCACTACACGTTGTGTAAAAAGTACCTCTCTTGTAGGCCCCCTTTAGGTACTGAAAGGCTGCTGTTAGGTCTCCCTGGAGCCTGCTCTTCTCCAGGCTGAACAACTCCAACTCTGTCTCAACCTGTCTGCATAGGAGAGGTGCTCCAGCCTTCTAAACATCTTTGCAGCTTACTCCAGCAGTCCACGTTTCTCTTATGTTGCAGGCTCCAAGCTGGACTCAGTACTCCAGGTGGGGTCTCACAAGAGCAGAGCAGAGGGGCAGAATCTCCTCCCTTGACCTGCTGGCTACACTTTCGATGCAGCCCAGGACATGATTGGCTTTCTAAGCTGCAAGTGCACATTGCCAGGTCATGTCAAGTTTCTTGTTCACCAAGAACCACAAGTCCTCCTCAAGGAAGCTCTCGATCTGCACAGCTTGTACTTTTGTTTGGAATTGCCCCAACCCACGTGCAGGCCCTTGCACTTGGCTTGTTGAACTTCATGAGGCTCACACAGGCCCATCTCTCAAGCTGACATTTTTGTCCAGTTTGTTGACTTCACCACAGAGCTTGGTGTCATTGGCAAACTTGCTGAGTGTGCACTCAGCACTTGGAGTAAGTTTGCCATGTCATGAACCTGTCAGAGCTCAATCCTTTTGGAAGAAGCTTAATCCAAAGATGCACAATAGGTGTGTGTCTCGTGTCCCACCTGCTAATGGGCATGCAGTCTGCAGGAGCAGGCAGAGTTTGCTTAAACCCTAGCCTAAAATTCTGACTGGGTATTTGACTTCAAGCAATTCTACTCTATAATAGTTTTCTTCCTGTAATAAAAGCTTTTCTCAAAAGCCACATATCAGCATGGAGCTAAGATTATGCTTTATTCTGTGAGAGAACTCTTGGTCTGATCACTGCGATCTGTCAAGAGTTGATTATAGCTGGGGAGACATCTGTGAGTCATTCATTTCTTTGGCAAAATTAGATTTAGTTTCCATTAAGGAGTGACTTAAATTGTGAATTGTAGAGATTATGAAAAAAGGAATTTCTTCTTATTTGTAGGACTATTACTTGTAAACTGCAGAACCTGAAATTTGAATGTTTCCAAAGTGGACAGCTTTAATTGCTTTTCCAAAAATGAATGTGCAGGCAGAGTTCCAGCTGTCTAGACACGCACCTTTTTGTTCAGAGACAAGAATTCTCTTTCTAGGCCTCTGCTTTTCCCAATTCATTTAAAATACATCATTGTTTGTCAGAAGAAATGAAGTATCAAAACCTGTTATATTTGATCTTTCTTTTTTTAATCCACTTGTATTTTTGGCTTCTGGAGTCAGATCAGTGTTCCAGGAACCTTATGTTCTCTGTCACTATTTTTTTCAATATATATAATTTTTATTTTAAGCATTTAACCCTCTTGCTCATTGAAACTAGGCAAGGAGAATCTTTGAGGTGGAAGAAAATAGGTCTGGAACATATTCTGAGTACTTGAAGCTTTTTCCCATATGAATTCAGGGATGACCTATAATATCTGGCATCCAAGAAATCTTACCTTATCTGACTGGTTACTCTAAACTCAAGAATGGTTCATTCCCTCATAGAGGAAATCAAAGAAAAGTAGCAGGAAGCCTGCATTGATAAACAAGGAGCTTCTGATTCAACTCAGAAAGGTGGAAGCGGGACAGGTGACACTGTCTGACATGTGGATTAAGGGCCTGGGTTAAGAAAGCTAAAGTCTCTCTGAAGTTGAACCTGTTGAGGGACAAGAAAAGATTCTACAGGGACTTTCAGGAGCAAAGAAATATCAGAGAAAATGTGAGACCACTGCTAAATGGGAGCAGGAGGCTTATTACAAAGGACATGGAAAAGGCCAAGGTACTCAATGCCTTCTTTGCTTTGGTTTTTACTCTTAGGATTTGCCTTCAGGAATCCCAGGTACCTGACATGCTTAGCAAAGTCTGGAATAAGGAAGACTTATCCTTGGTGGAGGGAGGATCGGGTTAGGAATGTATAAAAAAATTGGACATAAAGAAATTCAGGGGACCTGATAGGATGCACCCTCAAGTGTTGAGGGAGCTGACTGATGTCACTGCAAGGCCATTCTTGTTATCTTTGAAAGGTCATTATCATAAGGGTAACTCCCTGATGTGGTAAAGAGATGTCATTCCTGCCTTCAAGAAGGGCGAGGAGGACACAGGGAATTGCAGGCTGGTCAACCTCACTTTGACGCTTGGGAAGGTGAAGAAACAGATAATCATAGAAATTATTTCCAAATATAGAATGAATAAGAAGGTGATTGGAAGTAGTCAGCCTGGATTTATAAAGGGGATATAATTTCTGACCAGCTTGCTGTATTTTACCCTCCTTTGGGCATATGTATTGGATTAGATGATTACACAGATCCCTTCCAATGCTTTCTCTTGTGTCACACTAGAGCACACAATGTAGATGGTACTGGGTTCTTATGATGGAAATAGATGAGGCATGAGTATGGTTGTTCTGTCCCCACAAGGTTATGGGGTGCTTATTAGTCACCCAGTGGAGACCAAGTGGGTACTTTATGTTGTATAGCACAGGCTGGAAGATGTAACCCACCTGGCAGGTAGTATAATTTTACAGTAGTTTCATTTAATAGTTCCAAGTAAAATTTCCTAAGTATTAGTGCTTAAGAAATCTTGTATTTAATTGTGTTGGCTCAAAGTTCTTGAGTGGCAGTACTTGTTTAGCTCTATAAAACTCCTTTGTAGTCATTCAGAAAAACGGGTGAAGGGCTAGCTAGTTCACCTGGCAATGTGAGTCACAGTCCAGTGTTCTCTGACCAGGTTCCTCTAGGTATTCTACATGAGGAAAGCTTAATGCTGTAGAACCAAACTTACTCAGTTGAAGATATTTGTTGCTATGTGGGATTTTGATTTAGAAAAGTAATGGAGCAACACACTGAAATCACAACACAAACACAATATAGCAATTGTATATAGTTGAATCACAATACAAACATCATTCCCTTTACCATTCTCTATAGCTTGCTCACCACTGCAGTGCTGGGTGATCCTAGCTGCCAGAAGGACCACATGGATTGAAGCCAGCTCAAGCCTATTGCTCTCCTCAAAGTTACTTTTGCTGGGTGTTCAGGTTTTATACTCTATGTCATGCTGAGCCATGTTCACACATCCCCATGTTGGTGTGGCTGACTTGGGAATATACCACTTTCTATTGATTATTTTAGGGAAGATCTATTTGCAACCAGCTGACCCCTTCAACTGATACAGCTGTTTGTTTACAGCAAAGGCCATCTATGGTCACCTTGGTGTGAGGTCAGTTCAGCTTCTTTGGTGACAGCTGTTGTCACTTCCTACATTCTTTTCTGAGCTTCACACACGTCTGTCTACTCTGAGCCTTCTTCCACTGAAGGTGTTCATTGATCGCTCACAGAACGTGTGGCTTTGTAAGGCCAGATGTTGCTGGTTTTTTGGGTTTTGAAGAAAGGGAAAACCTAACAAACTTACACTGCTGTGTCTTTGGCTTCCCAGTGGTTTATCTTTTTCCGACATGTTTTGGGTTTTTTTCCCCCCATTTTCTCAAGTGTCATTTTTACTTGAGAACATGTGTTTCTGTGACCTCTGATTTAAACTCTCAATTGTTTTTTCAACCTTGAATAACTCACCAGAGTGCACTGGAAGGAAGAAAACACTTCTGGTACTGAATCAGTTTTTAGAACTTCCTTGGAAGTTTAATATTCACATTATGTCGATGGATTTAGGGTGGTGTGGGTTCATTGCAGTTTATTAACTTGTAAGATAATTATTCTAAGAAGTGAATTTTTAAATAAAACAGACTTCTCAAGATACTGATTTAACGACACCAACTCAGTGATGGCAAAGAAAGCTAAAAGCCTCCAGTAGAATTGTGGATATTTCTCTGACTACCACAAATTGTTGAGTTTGAACAAAATCTCCCAAATAATAAACTTTTCTATTCATACCATGAAATTATTTTTCTGGTATATCTGATCTTTAGTGTACTGTGGTTGGTTAACAGATTATTTTGGTATTTATTTCCCTCTTCCGTGACTAGGTTACACAGGTAGTGAAACGAGGATGACTCTCCTGCATTATTTTAACAGTCTTGAGTTGGGAATGAAATGTG